TGAAACACCTTTGTATTCCTGGCACAAATGCCATTCACTGATGGTATATAATTATTTTACTATGCTGCTGAATTTAGTCTGCTAATATTTTGTTGGGAATTTATGCATGTATATTGCTAAAGGATATTGATGTGTATTTTTTTCAATATATTCATCTGACTTTAGTATCAGAGTAATGCTAGCTCATAAAATAAAAGAGAAAGCATTCTTCTTCTATCTTTTGAAAGAGTTTGAGAGTAATTGAGCCATGTAGTTTTAAAAGCATCAGATTCAGTGTTAAATTTAACTCATTGCAAATCTCAGTGTTGTCAGTCTAAATATGTAAACAATTACCAAATATCTCTAATCTTCAGCTTATTCACCTAAAATAAAATGTATACTTTATCTATTTCATTGAAAAGATGTAAGAGCTACATGTAAAGCTCTTAGTACACTGTGTGTCATGTCTTTAAGAGTTCAGTAATTGGTGATTAGCTACCTGGGCTTTATATTATAATTTATGTAACAGCATTTCAGAATGATATATATTCATTAATTAATTTTGTCAACAATTAATTTGTTCAGAGCTTATCATAATCCAGGCACAGGAAACAAAACAATGACCATATTGTTAATAGATCTTCCCCTGGGCTGCATTTTGCATCTAATTAATTAAAATTTTGAAAGTTTATTGTGGTCCATTTAAGGACTGTTTCGGTAATTAGCCTTCTAAATGCACCTATTAGAAGTTTAAAATGTTGTTTTTCAAAATTTTTTTTTAGTTTTGCCTGCAAACATTTGTCTTCAATCATTGTATATCTTTTCCTTCTTCATAGTTTAGTTGCTATACTTAGCCTTCTACTATTTTATAACCAAGAGACTTGACCTGTTTGTGTTGCTATAACAGAATACCAGAGGGTGGGTAATTTTTTTTTTAGGGGAGTTATTTATTTTATTATTTTGGTGACTGGAAAATTAAAAATTGGACATTTGGTGAAGGTCCCAGGCTGTTGCCACTCATGGTAGAAAGTGAAGGGTAGTTGGCATGTGCAGAGATCACAAGGTGAGAGAGGAAATAAGAGGGAGGGAAAGGTGTCAGGCTCTTTTTGATACCCAAGTCTTATAGAAACTAACAAAGTGAGAACTCACTCATTCATCACCAAGGAGATGTTAATCTATTCATGAGGGTTCTGATCCATGACCCAAACACCTCCCATTTGGTCCAACACCACCACATTGTGTATCAAATTTCAACATCAGATTTGGAGGGGACAAACATCCAAACCATAGCACTAAGAAAGTCTATGGATTTTTCAATATGCTAATTCAGATCTAGTCTGTGCCTACAGCATCTAGAAAAAAGAGAAGTACAAAAATTTTGTGATGCAAATACTAACCTGTTTATGATGGCCAATTGTGTAATGGACTACAGAAAGATAAATGTTTTTCTCTGTCTAGTACTCCCATCAAACGCCTATTTTCACTATCTATGTGATTAGACTTTCCCAAAGAAAATGCATAGTGTGTACACTTTCCCAAAGAAAATTCATACTTTCCCAAAGAAAATTCAGAAAACTTTAGCTACTCCCCTCTTTTTCATCTTGGACAACTCTTGTTAAGGTGTCTTGGGTTCTCTTTGCCTCTTTTTTTTTTTTTTACCATGGCCAGAAACCCTGAGAATGTATGTTCTTTCTTAACCATCTATAAGGAATTGATTGAAAACTTTTTGCAGAGGTGCATTTAACAGAAATCTAAATACTTGCATCACACACATATGCTGTTCTTGTTATAGAAATTTGGGGATAGAATCGTACCTTCCATATTTTCTGACTTCAATTATAGAATGACCATGAGAATGTTGTGTCAACTAAAAAATAATCCTGAAATCATTTCATTTCTTACATGATTCTCATCTTTCTGCTTCCCATTTTCAGCTTCTTTCATGAATAATAACCAAAAATCACACAGCGTGTGATATGGAAGTCCACTTTTCTATTAGATGATTTGCAGTTACAATTAGTAATAACTTGAAACATAATTATTGTTACTGTGATCTTCCTAGGGTCAGTGTTTTTGGCTATAAAAAACTAGTTTCTGGGAATCATTCTGCACTATTTGAAGAATGTTTACCACTGAATCAGCTAGGAGGTCTTAAAGGCAGAAAAGTACAGTTCTATGGCCTCATTCTACAACTCAGAGTAGAAATCCATAGCAACATTCACCATTATAGCTACTACTACTACTTATGTATTGAAGATATTTGAAAACTTTCTACCTTATTTATCTATCTTCATGAATCTTCTGAAGGAAGAGTTTCTCTACTCCTTATGATTCTTTGTGAGTTCACTTGAAGCAACATGTTTTCTCATTATCTCTCGATCTTATATTCCCTAGGGTTTTATTGTTAGACTACTGCTTATCTTTTCTTACCTTAAACATTTTAGACAATAAGATTTATGCTATTGTTTTGATTATCATCTCTACACTAGTCATCAATAATTCTATGTTGAGAATCTCTGATCCTTTTCCTGAGTTTCAGCAGTATATACTAGAAAAATTGGTGTACACAACTGCTTAATTGCCTACAAAAACCTTACATTGAACAAGTAAAGAATTGAACTTATCATCTTTTTATTCATATTTATTATAATGCCAGGAAGATGAGCCAGTTAGTCATTAAAATAATTCAAAATGTCTAATTGGGAAAGAGTGAGAGACTAAGCAATGTAATGATTCTGTATTCCCTTAGCATTATTAGTATGGTTGTTACATTTAGAGAAACAGGTAGATTTCTTTTGCTAACAAAACTTTCTGTTTATTTTATTTTATTTTATTTTATTTGAGTTGGGTCTCACTCTGTCGCCCAGACTGGAGTGCAGTGGCTGCTCCTGGCCACCACAGCCTCGCCTGCTGGACTCCAGCGATCCTTCCGCCTCAGCCTTCCAAGTAGCCGGAATTACAGGTGCGCGCTACCACGCCTGCAGAGATGAGGTCTCGCTGCCCAGGCGGGTCTCAAACCCGTGGGCTCAGGCAATCCACTCACCTCAGCCTCCCAAAGGCGCGGGATTACAGGCTGAGCCACCGAGCCCGGCAACTTTCTGTTTATAATAGTGATATGATATAGATGCCTTTTTAGACTGTTACTCTATGAACACTTTCTATATTAAAATTTTCATTAGTAGTTTGTTTCATCATTATCAACTCCAATTATAAAAGCTGTAGTGTGCTTACTAATATTTCAGGAAATGGATACATAGTTTGAGATTATTCAGTTCCTATTCTCCTAATTCTTTCTTTTATTTGTACTAGACTTTCAAAGTTATACTTTTATTTTCTTGTGCTGTCCCACTTTGTATTACCATATAAGTTTTTCTTATAATCTCATATAAATGAGGAAGCTCAAAAGTGAAAGTTTTATAACGTGCATACAAAGAAATAGCTATTGTGTTCAGCAAGAGGATTACTGTGAAAAATTTCAAGTCTTTTTATTTTCAAAGCATCTTTTATTTGCAGTTGAGCAACTAGTGCGTTCAAGACTGATGAGATTTTTAAAAACAAGCTGACTGCTAAGAAAATGTTGCTTAAAATTGTTTCTGTTTTTGTTATTAAAAAAAAATGTTGGCAGCTCTTGCCAAAGAAACTAGCAATTTAGGAACTGGATTACCATGCCATCTTTGAAATTTCTGTTGAGCAAGAGAAGAAAACAGAAGAATCTTGAATGCTCTAACAGTGAAATTAATAAGTCCTCATAGCCATGACACTTTTGAAATTATATTCATTGGCTTACAAACATCTTACCTTTGCCAGAAATCTTCCTAAATATGTAACCCATTCATCTGCTCATTTCACAGTAAATATAAGACATATACGGAGAAAAGGGAATACTTTGCACTATTGGTGGGAGTGCAAACTAGTTCAACCTCCATGGAAAATAGTGTGGCAATTTCTAAAAGAATTAGAAATTTGACTTTCCATACTATCCCGCAATTCCCCTTCTGGGAATATACCCAGAGGAACATAAATTGCTCTACAAAGAAGACACCTGCACATACATGCTTATTGCCACACTAATCACAATAGCAAAAACTTAGAACCAACCTCACTGCCCACTGAAAGTGGACTGGATAAAGAAAATCTGGTACATATACCCGATGGTGTATTACACAGCTCTAAAGAAGGACAAAATCATGGACTTCACAGTAAATTTGATGGAGTAAGAGACCGTCATAGTGATCTATCACAGAAACAAAGAACTGAATACTACATGTTCTCACTCATAAGTGGTACCTGAATATTAATCACAATAGCACAAGGGCAGTCATAGAACATTGCCAGGGGAGAGAGGCTGGGGGTGGGAAGCGGGGTGGATTTAACAATACAAAGGAATACCAGGTCTTAAACCAGAGGAAGTGAGGACCAGTTGGAGGCCCAAACTTCACATGCATGTAGATTACTTTTGTACCTAATCCCAATTTATACTCTCACAACTCTACAATAAAATAAAGTTATAAAAATGCTATATTCGGAAAAGAAAGTTCAATGATAAACTAGGGAGAAATAATTCCTGCCTTCAAAGGTATTACATTTTAGTAAGAATTTTTTTAAATGCTTCTAATATCACTGAATTCCAAACCTTCCCATTATCCCATTTGACAAAACTTATTTAAATACATGTAAAGTTTATAAATTGTGTTTAGTCTCATTTCCACTCAGCAATTTCTTCTCCAACTCCTAATAATATATGCCTTTTCTCCAAATTAAAGGCTATGTTGTGGTTTTTATTTTTGTTTTCAGATGCTATAATAATATTGAACACTAATGGTGCCAAATGAAGCACTGTTTACTGAAAAACTAAGTGGAATGTGGATCATTCTCCTATGAAAAGACATCATGTGGAAGATAGATGACATCTTTCTCTAACATTATTCTGCTGACTACAGGACTCACTGTGAATTCAGTCACTCACTAAACAACAACCATGACTAACATCTCTCTTATCTTCTTCTCTCCCCACCAAGGATTTAATGACTCTGGCTATCCTTAATGCCAGCGTCACCTGACCGGAAGAGGCGTAACATCCTTAGTCGGATTTGCTTGGTCTTGATGGTGTAAACAACTGGATTGAGCACTGGAGGTGTAAGAAAGTGAAGATAGGAAAGCAATACATGACTGCATGATGAAGCCGACTTCCCAAATCTGTGGATCATGGACAGGCCAATCATAGGTGTGTAGAAGAGCAGTACAACACAGATATGGGAGACACACGTGTTGAGGGCTTTAAGTTGCTCAGCCCTGGAAGCGATGGGCAACACTGTCTGGAAGATCAGCCCGTAGGAGGGAATAATGAGCACTGAGTCCACACCCAGTGTAGAGAGAACCACAAAGAGTCCGTAGACACTGTTGACATGAGTGTCAGCACAGGCGAGCTTCATGACATCTGGATGCAGGCAGTAGGAGTGGGAGAGCTGGTGGTTCTGGCAGTAAAGCAACTTCTTCAGCATAATGGAGGCTGGGATGTGGAGACCAATGCTGCGTACCATGATGGCCCCAAGCCAGCTATCCGGGGGCTGGTGAGGATGGCACTGTAGCGCAGAGGGTTGCTCATAGCCACAAAACGGTCAAAGGCCATGGTCAGCAGCACAGAGGACTCCATGATGGAGAAGGTATGGATGAAGAAAAGCTGGGCCAAGCACATGCCCACCGCCACCTCTCTGAGACCCAGCACGTAGATGGGGAACATGGTGGGCAGCGTGGAGGCAGACAAGCCCAGGTCTGTCACTGCCAGCATGGAAAGGAAGTAGTACATGGGCTTGTGTAGGGAGGGCTCTGATCTCACTACCCACAGGATCAGGCTGTTCCCTGTTATAGCAGCCACATACACAGCACACAGAGGGATGCAGAGCCAGACATGCACAGCTTGGAGGCCTGGAAGGGCTGTGAGGAAAAAGAAGTTGTTGGTGTGGTTGGAATCTGACATGATGACCTGAGGAGTAGAACTGCAGGAAGAAGTGCAATCACAGGCTCTAGATTCAAATGAGTGGCTGGTCAGAACATCTTCTGTAAATACCATGACTATGCAAAGACTTCCCAAAATGTTTCTCTGACAGCCTCAGCCCTATAATTTTCCCTAGTTCATAAGAGAAAATATATTTCTGTAATTATTAGAAGAAATCTTCTATACACAGTAAGCTTAACTTTGGAGCCTACAACAAAATTTACTCCCAAATAAGTAAGTTTGAAATGTGGCTGTAGAAAGAGACTGAAACAGTGTTGGTTCCAACTCTTCGTTATACACATTGGAAAGTGAACTATAGTTTCCAATATAAGTACTGTGTCATATATGAGACACAAATTCAGATATTTTCCCTTTCTACCAATTTTTTTTCACACTACTTTTCAATAAATACTTTTTAGAATTTGGGTGAATATGATAATCTTTTAGAGATATCTTCTGAAAAAATTAAACAACGCAAAATAAAAATTTTTTACACATATTAACCCATCTGTGCTAGCATACAAACACAATCTAATATCATATGAAATTTAAAATGTCAATCTAGGAAAAATAGATTTTTAAAAAATCCTAATATGATTTATTCTCAAAGTAGATAAGTGCATGTGGGTCATTAACTTAACAGAATATTTCATACACATAGATATTAAACAGGTACCTTAAAGATTCTCTGTAACTATTTATCATTATACCAATAAGAATATAGAAACAAACAAAAAATAGCATTTACTTGCCAAGGTATCAGGAGTTAGATCTATTTAGATCTATTTATAAACTAATCCTGAAGATATGCAGCAATCTGGGAGTAGAGCTTTTGTCCTCCCTGTGCAATAATTAGAGTTATAAAAATAAAAAGTGCCATTAGAAAAGAAGTATCAGAGTCAATATTATTTTAAATATGTAAATAAATTTTTTTAAAAGGTGGAAAGAGAAGAGGTGGTATATTGAGAGTTTAGAGGATAGCTCTCTGAGAAGGGAACATTTGAGGTAAGAGCAAAGCAGCAAGAAGGAACAAGCCAGTTGGAAATCTGTGTATGTAGGGGTGAATATGTGTTTGGTAGGAAATGCATAGAGATGCATCAGGAAAAACATCAAATTATTAGCTCACAAGTTTAATGAGAGACAGAGATCTGTTATGGCTGGAACTGTGATACAAATGAAAGAGATAAGAGACATGGAGAATGAGAGCTAACTCAATCACATAAGAAAACTGTCTTTCATCTGATATGGAGAGGCTAGGCAATTTTCTTCTGTGTTGAGTATATATATACCTAGTGTCTCTGAAAGTATAGACTCTGGACTAAGGATGTCAGTAGTAAATGGGAACTTGTTAACTTGTAATGCAGATGATGGTGCCACCCAAACCCTACTGAACCAGGATTTCTTAGGTCAAAGCACAGCATTTGGTATTTCCATAATCCCTCAAGGCGATTCTGATGCAAACCAAGGTCTGAGAAGTATGACTGCATATCCTGAGGTATAGTATTGCTTTGTAAATAGTTGGCTGCAATGCTATTGAAGGCCTATTAAAACAAGTTGGGGGGAAGGGGGAGAAAAGGTTATGAATTAAAACAAGTGGCACCTTCTAAAGAAATTTCACTCCTCAGGGTTTAGCTCTGAGATGATTTTAGTAAGCATGCTCAGACATAAACACAGATTCTTTGCCTGGAGTCCACCAAATGATTTTACCACAGACCATTAAACACTAAAAAGTATATGACATATATAATAAATAAGGATGTTATGTTTTTCCTAATAATTTATTGTGAAAAGAATAAAATTGTTAATCAGGTAATCCGTAAGAGCTAAACTGCTGCAGCAGGAAGTTGGACAAACTATTTTATGCCCTCTACATATAAATTTGCAAATTTCCAGTTACTGGTAGAACAAATGTGAAATGAAGTAAAGAAACGTTTGAGAAAATTGACTGGGAAGAACTATATATTTAAGTTAATGCTGTTTATACACTTTCTACGAATTTTTCATCTTACATACACCCTGTGTTTCTTTAAAATCAGAGAAAATCACGCAAATTTCTTTACTAAACAAACTGAAAGGTCTTTCACATCATCTATTAACTGCAGATGCAGAGACACAAGCACAATATGCCTTTGGGTAAACAGAGTCAGAATGTCAAACTTTTTAAATTAAGTCTTTGAAAAAAAACTGAAAATAAAACAGAGTTGCTTATACATGTGGAGAATATTATTTTTGCATGTATCAAACTCAGAAAATTGCATGGAAATGGAAGAGTTTGTGTGTGTGTGTGTGTGTGTGTGTGTGTGTGTTTGTCACTATGCATAGATGTGCTGGTTTGTCTTCTTACTTCAATTTTTAAAATGTACTTATTGATTGTAAGCAGGCAATGATAAAAACCAGATGAATATGGTTTAAAGACAGGGCATCATTTTCTGGTCTTGGCTTTAGCACAGAAACACCGAAACAAAAAGCTTAGACAAAACTAGATGTAACTATGAGCTATGTCTTCCAAAATGCTAAGAGCACACTATAAGTCTCTTTCTTTGAGGAAATAATTCATTCATTTTCAATCAGCTGTAGATTTGTGACATCATGGAACAAAGTTGGAAACCATGCTGGATCTTCCAATACTAATGTCTGTTTTGTTCTACACCCATAATAAGATTCAGAACAACAGAATGGATGGCCAACATTTTGCTATAATAGTAATAAATGATGATAGATATGAGTTTCAGGTTTACAAAGAATTCTTTTTTCACACAATATATATACTTATACTGTGCTGATTTCAGTTTTTTCATCATCTAAAAAAGATAAATCAGTGACTTTTGGTAATTCTCATAGCATATTTAAGGATAAAATAAGATAGTGGATGGAAGAGTTCTTATTTTTTAAGTATTTAAATGTAAATGATAATTGTTGATATTTGTCTATCTTTTAATTTTTTCTAAATGTATTTGCCATTTGCAATTACCATGCTAAATGAACTTACCATTCAAAATGCAAGGAAGTTTTTAAAAAATGAGTCTTTAAAGATTTAAAAATAATTGCAATTAATCTTGATTACCCCAGGTTTATTAATTCAGATCATCTTTCTTTTACCTTCCAACATGCAAGAATAAAAAAAACCAAGTTATCTTCATAAATTAGCAATTCTTCAAACTTTTTTAAAATTTTAACTTGACTCCCTTCAGGGGCATAGAATCAGTCTTTCTAGAGATTCAGTTACACATGTATCAAGATGCATGTGAAGGAGGAATTTTGCCAGCGACATACTAGTCTCTCTTCTAATTGCACATTTAATTTTTTAAAATCTATTATGGAATCAAATTTGAGGAATTCTTCAAGAAACTCAACCAATAGTTCCCCGATGGTACCTGAAGATGAAGTGTCCCATTTCTTCCTGTAAATCCTCTATGTATAGCTTTTTTCAGAACCTTAACTCAATATTCTTAATAATGATTAACAGGAACTTTGCAGATGGCTTTATCCTTTCTCCAAACCCCATGTCATGGATACAACCACAAGGAAACAAGAGCTGAGCACATTTATCTTTCTTCTCAGATTCTATGACAGAGTCCTCCTTAGTGAAGAATAATTTTATAACAAATTAGTTAATGCTTAGGTATCATCCCCTGGTGAAAACAACAGGAATCATGGGCATTGTGGTAGCAACTCATCTCAACCAAGTAACTGCTAAAAAAAAATTTTGTAATATGCTAGAGACTTCGTTGCAATTGGGAATTTTTTGGCCATGTATAAGACTAAGTTTTTCAATTACTGATTCCCCTTGTAGTGTGGTTTAAAAATAGTTGGCCTGTTTGAGAGTATAAGCTTCAACATTATAAAGTCCTAAGTTAAAGATAGTGTCCAACACTTAACATTACATAAGTTGAGTCTCTTTTATTGTGTGTCTAGAATATAGTCATTCGGTGTAACCACTGGAAAGTAATGGGTATATGGTTAATGACAAAGGCTCTGGATCTACCAAGCTGAGTTTGAATATCAATTCTGTTATTTAATAGCTCTAGAGTATTTGAGTATGTTATTTACCCTCTAAATGATTCAGTTTCCTGATATGTGAAATTGGAATTGTGAAAAAAACTAATGCATAGAATTGTTGTGAGGATTAAATAGGATGCTCCATTAGAAAGTGTAGAACAAGCCAGGCTCGGTGGCTCAGCCTGTAATCCCGCGCCTTTGGGAGACTGAGGTGAGTGGATTGCCTGAGCCCGCGGGTTCGAGACCCGCCTGGGCAGCGAGACCTCATCTCTACAATAAATCGAAAAATCAGCCGGGCGTGGTAGCGCATGCCTGTAATTCCGGCTACTCGGAAGGCTGAGGTGGAAGGATCGCCGGAGCCCAGCAGGTCGAGGCTGTGGTGGTCGGGAGCAGCCACTGAACTACAGTCTGGGTGATGGAGTGAGACTCAAACTCAAAAAAAAAAAAAAGAAAGTGTAGAACATATGTGTCAATACTCAAATAAGTAGCAATTGTTGTAGTATTATCTCATAACACTGTGAATATGTATACTTATAAATAAAAATCATTTACTGTATTTTTAAAAACAGGACACGTTAAATATATAATAAATTATTTTTACTTTCATATAAGTGCAAAAAAGAAAGTTTTACTGTTGCAACATAAAAAAAAGTTAAATAAAATGAACTTTCTGATTTTAAGGACATATCTTTCCAGTTAAATAGAAATCACAAATTAGTCACAGCATTGAATATAAAGACAGACAATTTGTATTCCCCAATGTAAGTTTTTTTTAAAAAATTATGTTTCACAATATAAGTGTGAAATGAAACAGAAAACTTAGTCTTAGTTGTGAACATTTCATTTATCACCTCCCTGACTATGAATGCAAGAAAATAGAGAAACTCAAAAATCTTTTTACTTCAGTGTTATATGTCATAAAGAAGTATAATAAATATAATCAGCATATCTTAACATATAAACAAGTGTAACACAGAGCAAGATGCATGCAGTATATCGAACAGAACTGTAACTCCTTGTGATATTGTGATAAAGTAAACAAGAGGTCAACTTCATGTTTATACAGGTTTTCTTCTCAACAGCCCTTTACAAGTTTAGACAGAAGTGGAATGCAAGTTGAAAGCAGTTCTTTTCTCACTAGAGGGAGAAAATTGAGCTCTGATTTCAGATAGGTTGAGACAGATCAAAATTTTGAGCAACTACTGGATAAGGGAGTCCTAGGAATCACGTTTTTTCACCAACTTCTATTCTGAAAATTCACTAGGCAACACTCCAAAAGGTTTCTCATAAAATATCACTAAGTTGAAAGAGTTAGACTATAAGTAGATTAGAGATTCTGGATTTCATGCAGTGCTGAGACACATTGAAATTTGAACAAAGTAGAGTGAAGGGATCTCTGACGATTTTGGAAATTGATTTGAAGTCCTCTAAGTGGTACAGAGGCTATACCACATGGGTAATACTATGTGGTGTAAGGTTGAGATTAAAATTCAATATTATGTACCACCTTGACATCTGAAACTGGTCTAAGCAAATTTGGAAAATGGTGTTTGGGCACTGCAAGTTTACAGATTAAAAAAAGAGTAATTGTACAAGAGTTGGTAAATTTGTTTCCAACAGGAGTGTGAATTAAAAATGTTGAAACAAGAAGGAACTGATGAGAAAACAAATTGTAAAAAGTAAGATCAAGATTTTTCACTGCCAGGGAAGGAAATTATAAATAATTAGTAATAGTTTAAAAGTGGTATAAAAAAAACAAACTTGGCAACTTTTAATTCCAATCTTGTAAATTTTTTCTTTATAGCTGAAGAAGAAAAAAGGACATGTAGATGAGCAGAATTTTACTAAAATAAATGTTAAACAAAGTTTCTTAGGCAGAAAAAAATAATAATACCAGGTATAAATTTGGACCTATGTTAAGGAATAGAAAGTATAAACAACAAATTTGATGGTAAATATAATTTTCTTATTTAACAATTTGCATGCAAATCATGATATATACATTGAGTGAAAAATTATTCAACAATAAAAAATAATACATGAACCACATTATAAATCTCAATGTGGTCTTGCTGAGTAAAAAAACACAAGCAAAAACAAAAAGAAACCCACATACTTTATAAATACGTGTTTTTTAAGTCCTAGAAAATTGGAAACTAGTCTGTGTTAATAAAGTCATCTCATTTCTTGCAAAAGATTCGGTGAGGAAAGAGATCAGCGAAGGAGTACAGAAGATCAACAGGAAACTCATGGAAGTGATAGATATGTCTACAATCTTGATTGTGGTAATTATTTCATATGTCAAATTTATCAAATTGTACACTAGAGATATGTACAACTTATCATGTCAATTATACCTTAATATAATCTTTAAACTTAAAATTAAAAACATTTTAGTAAATAGACATGCATGAGACATTATGAGATCATGAAGAAGGGTTACCTGACCAATCTAGAGCATGTTAGGTGAGTAACAAAAGCTATCTTCAATGCATGATACTAGATTTATGCTTGTGTAAGGAGGGGAGGAGTTAGAGAGCTTTTAAAGAGAAAGAACTTTGGGCATTGCAAGCAGTTACAGGATGAACTAATAGATGCCAATAAGTGCAAAGTGTTCATAGAGAACTTTAACTATTTCTGTGTTTCTGAACTGCAAAAACGAAGGCAAGTTCTTTTGAGAGATAAGGTCAGATTAAGGAGGGTTGTGTCTGCCATGCTTGAATAGTTCATCTTTCTAGTCTCCATTTAAGACATATCACTTCAATGGAGTGTCTCAAAATCACACCCATCAGATACATTTACTGTCATGTGAGTTTTACCACAAAATTTGCTGCCTGTCAACAAAACGTTTTTGACACACTGGAGAATTATTTGTTTAAAAATCTATTTTCCCTAATTAATTTAAGCTTTTCACACCAAGAAAGAAATATTCTCTTTTGTTTTCTTTATACTTTGTAAAGGAAATGGCCTAGTAAAGGAAATATATTTATTCAAATATAAATAAATATATTTTCAATGAATGACTATTTAGGATAAAAATAAAATATTGGCAATATATTTATTTCCTCCTTTCCATCATAATATTGTAAATAAACTTATAATAGAATTTGACTAAAAATTAGCACTTAAGCAAAAAATTTACTTGACCTACTAGTGGTTATATTATTAATAGAGTAATTTCATTGGAGATGTTAGCTGAAAATTCAGACCAGAAAGATAGAAACCATGGTAAATTGAGAAAATCAATTTTTCTAGCTCTGACTTGTTTGGTGATAAAACAGCCACTGAGAGTGTTCATTTGGTTTTAAAAAAATATATATGTATATCTCCTAAATGATTGAGAAAAATTGAGTTGTACATGGGGTTTATTATTTTTAAAATTATAGCATCTTAGCAGTTTATGAGAGCACAGAATTTTTAATGTGTCTATTAGGAAGTAAGGGGTAGTAACTTAACTTTATTCAGAGGACTAGAGAATATTGGAGGCTCTGCCCTTTCTTACGCCATGGAGCTTAAAGAAATACCAAACTGCATAATATTTATGTTGTAATGCCCTACATTTCAGTAATTAAGATCTTTATCTTGTAAATGTATTTATAATGTTGAAATATTTCTATTTGACTTATGTTTTCCAGCATAATTACATCTACAGTCATGCAAATCAAAAGATAAACATATCTTGACACGTATTTGTCAAATTTTCTGAAAGTGACCAAGGGAAGCCCTCTTGAGCTTAAATTTGCAGGATTCTATACTTTCTGTTGGAAAAATTATTGGATGTAATTGAATCCTACTCTTATAATCTACTTGCCATTACATGATAATTATATTCTCTTGAGGCTGTAAATTTCCCATATAATAACCTGAGATTTTTAAGTTTGAGACTGACTTTTTCAAAAATAATAAATATGTTTTTTCCTCTTAAACAGCAATGGTTCTGATGGTTGGGAGAAAACCACATTTTATTTCAGTTGGTGTTTTTATTGTTGATTTTTGTTTTTTTGAGTTGGAGTCTCACTCTGTCACCCAGACTGGAGTGCAGTGGCCATTGGTGTTTTAATTGACAGATCAGATGGAAACTATACTTTACCCTCTTTTTGAGAGGTCTTCAATCTGTAGTTCTTTCTCTAAGATTGAGGTATCATAGACAATGTTCCTGCAACTCAGAGCTTTTGCGGGTTGAGCATCTTTAAAATGCGAACCCGAATTTCTTTGGTTTTGATACTGTAGACAATTGGGTTGAGCATTGGAGGCACAAGAAAGTGCAAATAAGAAAGAAGCATGTATACCTGAACTGGTAGTTTCTTTTTCCCAAAACGATGGATCATGGACAAGCTAACTAGCGGGGTATAAAAGAGTAGCACAGCACAGATGTGGGAAATACAGGTGTTGAAAGTTTTGAGCCTCTCAGCCTTGGAAGCAATGCTCAATACAGTCTTCAATATCAGAATGTAAGAGAAGAGAATAAGCACAGCATCCATCCCCAAAGTGGAGAGCATGACAAAAAGCCCAAAGGTACTGTTCACAAGAGTGCTGGAACTGGCCAGCCTTAGGACATCAGGATGAACACAATAAGAATGACACAGAGAATTTACAGGCTGAAATTGCAGTCTTCCAAGGAGCACAGGCAGGGGCAAATGGAGGGCAGCACTACGGGTCACAACAGCCAGTCCAATGGCCCCAATGCGCTTGGTTGTGAGAATGGAGGTATAGCGTAAGGGCTCTCGGATAGCCACACAGCGGTCAAAAGCCATGGCCAACAGAACAGCTGATTCAATGACTGAGAAAGTGTGGATAAAGAAGAGTTGCATAAAGCAGGTTACAGCTTCCATCTTCCTCTGGCCCAGGAGAAAGACAGCTACCATTGAAGGCAGTGTAGAAGCTGAGAGGCCCAGATCAGCCATTGATAGCATGGAGAGGAAGAGATACATGGGTGTGTGGAGGCTGGGTATGGACTTGATGATGTACATTATGATGACATTGCCCAGCACAGAAAGAACATAGATAGTGCAGATAGGAATAGCTGTCCAGCAATGAGCAGACTCCAGTCCTGGGAGATCCATCAATATGAAGAAGAAGCTGCTGACATTATTGTTGTTAGGAATTGCCATAACTCTGGGAGATAGAAGAGTGCCCTGGGAAAATAATAAAGCAAAAGGCTATTTTTTCCACAGCATGTTCTTATCATCTTATCTGATACAACACCCGTTGTTCTTGCCTGCAAAATAATATTGCCCTTTCTCTTCTCACATTACTGAATTTCATTCTTTCAGAGGTTTCTACTATGAAACAAATGACTCTTTGAGTGTTTGCCCTAGTTTTCAACAGCATATTTGGACCATTAAAGTAAAGAAAATTTTTTTCCTCATCTTGAAGGTATTTCCAAGTTTGAAAACTACAAAGGACAACTTTATATTGAGAACATAGAACCTATGTGCATGAGCTAGATTATTTTTAGTACCAGAATATAAACGGACTTCTAAAACTAAAAACCCAGATAAAATAATTGTGTTTAATGGTGACTTGGAAGTTTGAGTGTAAAGTATCAGGAATTAATACTGACTCCAAACTCCTGATATTACCAGATATCTCTTTTATACTGAAGAGGCTCAGGATCTCACAAGTACAAAGTGGCAGGAAAACATCAGGAGAGGTTTAGACTTAATGTGTATGTTACTTGATTTTAATTAAATTTCTTTCTAACTTTGCTACACAGTACTTGCCAAAAATGTTTATATATTGATACAGATATTTGAAAGGTAAAAGGTAAAGACTAGACAACATTCATAATTGGAATCAAAATATATTGTCTTTTTTGTTTTTTGGGTTTTTTTGAGTCAGAGTCTCACTCTGTCACCCAGACTGGAGTGCAGTGGCCGCTCCCGGCCACTGTAGCCTCGACCTGCTTGGCTCTGGCGATCCTTCTGCCTCAGGCTTCTGAGTAGCCAGAACTACAGGAGCACACTACCACACTTGGCTAATTTTTGATTTATTGTAGAGATGAGGACTCGCCAAGTGGCCCAGGCGGGTCTCGAACCCCGGGGGCTCAGGCAATTCACTCACCTCGGCCTCCCAAAGCACGGGATTACATGTTGAGTCACCGAGCCTGACAACAAAATATATTGTCAATGACCTCATACATTTACTAAGCTCCTGCTATATAGTCAAGTGTTAGTAATTCAATGACAGACAATGTGTAGCTTCTGTCGCTGAAGGCCTTATAACTCACTGGTCAGCATAAAACACCTACATGATCTAGTTCAAGAGAACATTGACCATTAGAAAGATAAAAAAGTTCCAAGTATGAATGTAAATCCTGCTCTGCACAGCTCACCTTTAAAAAAATGAAAAAGTCTTGGGTGCCATCAGGAACACTTACTAAAGAAAGAAATAAAGTATGAAACTTGAGTACATAGGGTTTTAAAAAATACCTAATCACATTTCTAAATTCCACATTGAATGGTGATTTCTTTTCTTAACAGCTTAGAACAATTTTCTTATGACAACCTCGACATTTTCCTGAGAAATCCACTATGTAGCAACAATCTTTATGTCTTATTTATATTATGTTATTATTTTCTCCTAATCAATTCTAATGCTGCTCTATAAAGTCATGAAGAACAGTTATAATTTCCATTTCACATGTTAACTGTTGGTCTAAGGAAAAACCAAAGGAGAAACTCTGTGAAGGCTAAGCAAAGTTGTCAAAATTGATGTAAGTATGTCAACTGAACGGTAAATAAACATTGACAATAATTATAGGACAGGTGATGGAGAAAGAAAAATCATGATCAACTATAAAGAAGATAAAATGTAGAGGCAGGTCTATCCAATTTTAGAAAGGAATAGAAACAGGAGAGTTGAATTCTTGTTGTAAGTTGTTAGAATTTGGTGTATATACCAACAAATTCTGGTAGAGCACAGTTATCACAATAACAGAATTTTACCTGTTTTTGTTGTGGAAATCATTTATGAAGAGAGAGAAGTATTCCTAGGAAACCTAGCCATGGTCCTGAGTGATTATGAATTCAGTAGATACAATCAAGCAGAGATTGGAAGCATGCAGTTGCCTGTTTCTCCTGGTGCTTTTCACTTCTGAGTGTGGGCAGATTGAGGAATTATTCCTCCCATAGGAGCCTTTGACTAGCACTTTTAGTCACAAAGGAAGCAAAGAAGATGCTATCTTCATTTGAGCTTTTCCTCAAAAACTACTCATAAAATGTTAACTTTTTGTCACTAGTCCAACTTCTGCTAAATTGACTCTGTAACATCCTTTAAAGTGAAACTACATATCTCAGAGAGCAACTCTTTCAATTGTAATGTTTAAGTAATTAAGGATATCTGCTTTCCTGCAAAGCCTTTCGTGCATGTAGATGTGTTCTAAGTTTTTACTTAATAATTGAGTATTTAGACAATTTAAAACAATCATTCCAGCCTGCATTATTTTCTAATTAAAATGATTCATTTTAGTATTTCCTTTAATCTCATAATCTTAAAAACATTTTTGTTTGCTTAACGTCTAGTCACTTAATGGACTAAGGAAGAGCAATACAACTTTGAGACTGAGCTGCACATGGAAAAAAGACACATTACAAAATGTCCAGATTTGCTCACACATGAATGCTAAGATGACAGATGTTAACAAGGAATTGAAGGTAGAAAACTTTTCTAGGAAAGATCAGAGTGTGCAGTGAAAGCTGACCCATGCTACTCGCTTAATTATGATCCCTCTACAGTTTCCTTCTCAACTGTCTATCATAAACTCTGAGGAGTTGGCATTTCCTTGAAAAACATCTGATATTTGAAGGAGATTGTGTAACTTTTATTAATTTTAGAGGTTTTGTTGTTGTTGCTTTCAAAAAATGTCCATCTAGGCACAGTGATACTTCCCTGTCGATCCATCTACTTGGGAGGCTGAGGTGGGTGGATCACTTGAGCCCAGAAGTTTGAAACCAGCTGAGCAACAGAGAGCTCCCTCAAAATCAAACCAAAACCAAAAAAAAAAAAAGGTCCAACATTCTGAGATGTAAACTACTCTATTGCCCATACCCTAGGTGGCTTTTTAGCTACACAGATCCTTAAACTTGCTGATGGTACCAAATTTGCTGATGTATAGGAAGAGCACAGTTTGAGGAGGGTAGAGGGAGGAGAAGGGAGAATAGCACTAAAAATAAGGTACTTGCTAAGAATTATGCTACTGCAATAGGACCAATTTGTAAAAAATACATTTGTGTTGGGATACGTGTATTAATATTATCATTTATAGAAATAGTAATCTGGTCTATACAATATTTACAATTTTAGAAAAAATAAGCTACAAAATGGAATGTTGATTTTCTTCTGCTTCCCTGAGAAGAACAACATAAATTAAAGTTGTATAAATTCTTTAGAGGGTAAATGCAGAGCAATTATACTTTTTAAAAATAAATATTATAGCCTAAGATAAGTACTACTAGTCCCTTAAACTACTGCTTTCAAGACAAAATCGCCATATAGTTTTTCATATCGGAAGCTTCATTGGTACATATTTGATGTAACCACTATTTCAATGTTGTATGAGATTAGAATACATTTCTATTTTTCCTTTCTTCTTACTTTCTTGTATCTCTCTGTCCATTCCTTCTTTCCATGCATCTTCTCTTTTTTTTTTTACATCAATACTTATAATGACCTAATAAGCATTATTTATAAATGAAGTTTGACTTGCAGTTGATCTTGAACTCCAATTAATTATTTAGGGTAGAACGATCAGAAATGGATTCTAAAAATTATAGTGCATATCATGTAAGAGGATTCAAGGAGCTGTATATGTCCAACACGTTCCTTTCCACCTCAGAGATCCTCACACAGACTTTGAAACTATATTTGTGAAAACTATGACTTCCCTGGACTCTCATTCCAGGTATACATATGACATGATTTGACCCAACTTAGCCTAAGGTGTTTCATTCACTCACCAGACTCCAGTACAGAGACACAAGTTCTGTGGATGATGGTGCAGCAGGGGTCTCGGGAGTCTCCCTGCCTTGAGTATAATGCCAAATGAGCAAGTCTATAAATCCCTGGCTCTTGTTCTTCCCGGATGGCCCCACCTAATCCCTGTGCTATAGGCTATTAGAGCAGCATTAACTGTGCAGGTGCCAGCCAGAGCTGACTATTGCTAATTATTGTGAATCCTTGCTGGCTTTCCAGAATAAGATCCAGTACAACCTCAGAATATGCAACCAGTATATTTTCAGGCTTCCTTTCTTCTGTTCCCAGTCTAAGACCTTAGCTATTGAGATATAGAAGTTACCCTATCAACGCTAGCTATCCTGGTGCAAGAAATAGCTTGTATCACATTTAGAACTACAAAACATGTAATCCTTTATATCCTTCAAACAAAACACTCACTCTCCAAATCCATTAGACTTTTTGAGAAAGAAATGTAAATATTGTGTAGGTTGAAGCAGAATATCTATAACACTATTTAAATGTAGGATAATATTAATACACATTCCCAAAGACAAATTTATTTTTCACAAATTGGTCTTCGTTACAATAGCACACTTCTTACTTAGCAAGCAGCTTACTTTTTACTGATATTCTCCCTTCTTCTCCCTCCACCCTCCTCAAAATGTGCTCTTCTTATTTTCTGAAGAATTATTTTAAGCGGTAAAGAGATTAAAAAGAATTTACTAGGATAATATGAAATGATCTGGGTTTTGTTTTGAAACTGATAGGAGATTGATGAAATATACAAATTCTGGTTGCATTAGGTGTTGAGCTGGACAGAAATATGCTGAGTAATTGAGGTAAGATTCAAGTTAGGAATGAGGCATGGGAGCTATCTCAGATGAACCACAACCACATACTAGTTCAGTGATTCTGTCAACGGACTCACATGACTCAATGTAAAGTATACTCATGAAAATTTAATATTGAACAAAACACACTACTTAGGGTCACTAGGGAACTGGTATAAGCAAGCAAAGGCTAGTCAAATACAGTCTTCCAAATATTTATTGTGTTTCTGCACTGCTTGATCTGGCTGTGAGCCTTAGAAACATGTGAGAGATGTCTCTACTAGGGACGCTTGCTTGAGTTTAGGAGTCCAGAGTTCTTAAAAAGAGCTGTTCACATAGGCCCACAGTGTCACATGACCAGCATGTGCAGATCCCATATGAGGCAAGAGGTTCACATTGTAAATTTCATGCTTATTTTACTCATTCAATCAACCTGGTTCATCTTGAAGAGCTGCTTTGGATGTAGATAATAACATTATTACTCAGGAATTATTTTAACATTTCAGAGACTTTCTTCTCTTTGGTAAGGTCATCAACATGACAAGCACTGTTGCACTAACTGACTAACTACTTTCTTTTAGGATCTTCTGTCATTTCCCAGAATATACCATGACCCTACAGGATGGATGTTAGAAATGCTTTCATTCAGCATATGTATAAAAGGCTGGATTCAAATGCAGCCTAAGAATAATTCTGAACCCAGGTTATAGAAAATATTTTTATTATATATACACATATATGTACATATTAAATGTAATGAAACAAGAAAAGAAAAGGTAAACAACAAACTGAGATCTATATGATTGCACTGGGGGTTTAGTTTGAGGTCTATGATTCAGCCATATATAAAGAAATATTTATCTTTATTGCAAACTCTTTCATCTAAAAATTCTGACTCCAATGTGGCAAAACATTAAAATTTAACAAAACCAAGAGGAAAATAATATAAACATTTGTTTTATTATTTTCTAAATATATTATTGATTGAAATGATTTAACAATAATAATGATATATGGACAAAAACAGAATGAATTGAATGCAAGATTGAAAAATCTAATATATTAAAATTACCCTATTCAAAAGCTATTATAGTTTGATCTTTAAATGAAAGAGATTACAACTTTCTCTTTGAGATTGGAAGAAAGAATTTGATATTAGAAATATAAATAACTTTCTGTATATGAAATTGAAGAGCTGGTACACTGTGAAGAAAAAGTAACTTAGAGTTGCCAATGTTCAAATTTGCAGCTGTGGGTTAAAGATAGAGCCACCAACTGGGCTTGGTGGCTCAGCCTGTAATTTCGCGCTTTGGGAGGCTGAGGTGAGTGGATTGCCTAAGCCCACAGGTTCGAGACCTGCCTGGGCAACTTGGCGAGACCTCATCTCTACAATAAATCAAAAAGTAACCGAGCTGGTAGCGTGCGCCTGTAGTTCCAGCTACTTGGAAGGCTGAGGTGGAAGGATCGCCGGAGCCCAGCAGTTGGAGGCTGCAGTGGTAGGGAGCGGCCATTGCACTCCAGTCTGGGTGACAGAGTGAGACTCCAACTCAAAAAAAAAAAAAAAAAAAAGATAGAGCTACCAAGTATTGCAGCAACATATTGCTAGCACTGAGAGACCAAATGAAGTTAGGGATCATTAATTTGTAGTCATATCAATATAAAAATCTAATGTCATTCTTAATTATAACTCAAAAGTATAGATACAAGAGTAGATGGTATTTGATTCCAAAGTTAAGTTTAGAGTTGAAGGGTATACAAATAAGGAAGCATGAATATTGAGGTTTTCAATGAAGTGTGTGTCTATAGGGATTATGAAAGATGATAAAATAATGGTTGTTATCATAGATTTCTAGAAGGTGAGAGGTGGATGCACTGAAACTAGAAGTCTCAAAGCAGAGTTCAAGTGATATGAAACCAAGAAATAAGCATGTTTGAACAACAGAACTTTATGCTACAGATTGACATACAGGAGTTAAAGATTATACCCATATGAATGATGACTTTTAGAGTCTGACAATAGGAATGCTATAAATTTAGGTAGATTGCTGACATTTTAAATTTTATAGTTATATAATTCCTTCCAAAAGTATATATTAGATATTTATTTGTTTATTGGTTTATTTATTGTTACCTTCTACTTCAAAAATAGAAACATCAATAACGCAACTACTTTGAGAGAAAGAATATTAATTCACAGTATGTCTCTAACTCTTCAAAAAGCCAAGGATAAAGTAGATAACCACTATATAACTATTACCCTATCAAATATATACAGATGATGCAAAAATCATTTGTTTTATGTTTTACAAAATGAACAATAAGAATGCAAATTTCTCTGACCAAAATATGTGAAACTTTGAACTAAAAAATAGTAAGAGTTCATGATTTCAAATTTTAATTTACTAAATTTTATTATTCAATATACATTATTCAAAGCATAGAATATAAATAGTTTTAACATTTATCCAGGCTAATACTAAATATATTTGGAAGAGCCAGTAGTCAGACAGAGTCATTTTGGGTATTTGGAATATTAGTAAACTCTTTGTTTTATAAAGTATTCTATTTCTGTTTGGCTGGATCTCATTGTGAAACTTATTTTGTAATAACCCTTACAAAAATATGAAAAAATATTGGACCGCACAATTATTATAGTTTGGCAACTATTTCGTATATGACATTTAACTTTGCAAATTAATAACTTAAGTGTGATGCCACTGCGAATAAAATTGACCATACTAGTTGTCATGTTAATGGTACTGATACCACAAAAAAATCAATAATAATGATGGTCCTCATAAAGATTTTAAAATAGATAATAAATAATGGGGAAATGAAAACAGTGTCAAGAGTTTCTCTTGGAGTTTCCTTTTGTCTGTAACCTATATTATAATGTAAGACAAATATTTATTTTATTACAGTAAAACAGCATTGACTACTTATGCTAAAGAATATATATATGTATACATACATATACAGGCACACATTCACACACACACTGGATAAAGTATAGTGCAAATTCATGATAGGGTAGACTTTTTTCTGAACAAGACCTCAGAAATTGGCTAATAGGTAAGCCAAGAGAGGGTCCATGGTAAATAGTAAACAGATTGGTTATAAAAATACAAGAAGAGTTATAATGAGGACAGTGATATTAACTGTGGCACATAGGAATATCAAAACATGGAAAGGTAAAGGTATATATATTTTTAAGTGATATAAATATACACATATTTAAGGTGAAATGTGTTGACCACATTATGATATTTAAGGTGAAATGTGTTGATACATTATTGCACAGAATTTAATTTAATGCATCTGTCTTTTTGCAGTGTCATCTGAGTCATCTAATTTAGCAGAAAATATAGATTACTCTCAGTATGATGTCTGCCTTACACATGAGAGTAATCACTTGTGGTATAAATAATTCAATAATCTTAATTGACTTACATAAGTATCAAGTAGTTTTACTTCTACAATTGCATATTTAAGGGATTCTGCAATTGTAGGTCAAGAATGCTACTACTACTTCCATTCATAGATCAGGGAAGACCAAGATTGGAAAACAACTAATTGGAATTATTTTTTATTTTGTTTTAGTTTATTTGCTTATTTACTTATTTCAATAGCTTTATTTTACTTTTTATTTTCTTTTATTTTAAGAATGTGAGGTACAATTCAGATTTAGGTAGATAAGTGATCATCGAACAGGTAAAGTTTGGACCTCCCTTTTGTCCTCACTTCACCTGGTTTGAGATCAGGTACGCTTACTGATGTTATGTGTCCCCTCTCCCCTGGCAGTGTCCCGCTACTGCCAATTTCTTTCTTACAGCATTATGATAAATGTTCAGGATCCGCTTGTGAGTGAGAAAATGTACTCAGTTCTTTGTTTCTGTGATAGATCACTGAGTATGATAGACTCTAACTCCATCCAAATTGCTGCAAAGTCCTTAATTTTGTTCTTCTTTATGGCTATGTAATATTGCATCAGGTATATGTACCACATTTTTTTTTAAATCCAGTCCAGTTTTTTGGGGCAACATGGTTGGTTCCATGTTTTTGCTATTGTGAATAGTGCTGCAATAAAATGTAGCAGTTATCTTTTTTTGTAGAGTGATATAAGTTCCTCCAGGTGTACTCCCAGAAGGGGGATTGCTGGGTCACATGGAAGGTCAGTTTCTAGTTCTTTTAGGAATTGCCACACTGTTTTCCATAGAGGTTGAACTAGTTTACATTCCCACCAATTTAACTGGGATCATTAGCACTTTATAAATGGAATTTCTATCTTTTTTGAGTCCCAGTGTCAGTCATAACAAAAACTTCACCATTTTTTAAAACTTGCATTCTATAAATAATCTTAAAATAACTGATTATCTCAGCTTTATTTCATCCAACTGATACTCTTTAAGAAGACACAACATAGATGGCATGAAGAACTGTGAAGGATGATGAAGAGTTAGTCTTATATATGTGAAATGTATCTAAATACTGTAGTGAAGGGATCATTACTAAATTTAAATGATATATAAACATGGTATACATTTGAATTAGGGTTTGTCTTCTAGAATGTAAAAGAGTAAACTACAAGTGATGTTTTGTGAAACGTTATGCGATTAAAAAGAGCATCTAAGTTAAAAAAACAATTGTAAGAAAAACATTCAAAAACAGCTACAGCTGAGAGTGAAAACTAAAGCCTCTGCAACTTGCAAAAATGCAAAGTTCTAAGACCTATTACATGTTTTTCCATATCTACATAGAGTTAGACATAGGACACCATCTCAGATAAAAGAGTTAGATTACAATGGCCATTTAGTGTTATATCCATATAGAACTATTTATGTTATAAATGTCCCTTGGGAATCTTCTGGTCCTTTTTTGATGAAAAGTCTTAAAATTTTGTCTCGTATCTGCTTGGTTTTCACCACATACACAATAGGATTCATCACAGGAGGAATAAGAAAATGCATGTTGGACATGATCACATAAATGTGTGAGGAAAGTCTTGGGCCAAAGCGATGCATCATAGACAGGCATATCATGGGTGTAAAGAAAAGGATAACAGCGGAGACATGAGAGATGCAGGTGTTTAGGGCTTTGAGGCGGCCACTGTGGGATGCAATGCTTAGTACAGTTTTCAGAATGAACACGTAAGAAAGGAGAATGAGGAGAAAATCAAGTCCCATTGTAGATAGCACCACAAATAGTCCAAAAATGCTATTGATCCTGGTGTTGGTGCAGGAGAGCTTTATAATGTCGGGATGCAGGCAGTAGGAATGAGAAAGTACATTGGAGCGACAGAAGCACAGCCTCCGCAAGAGGATGGGAAGAGGCACCTGGACAATCAAGGTTCGCAAAACAATAGCCAAACCTACTCTGGAAATCACACTATTGGTGAGGATGGAGGAATAGTGCAATGGACGAGAAATGGCCACATAACGATCGAAAGCCATCACCAGTATAATGGCTGACTCAAAATCCTGAAAAGTGTGAATAAAGAACATTTGGACAAAGCAAGCTAAAGAAGTCAGCTCTCGAGCATCCAGCCAGAAGATCCTCAGCATTGTGGGGAAGGTGAAGAGGGACAGCCCCAGATCAGAGGCAGCCAGCATGGCCAGGAAGAGGTACATAGGCACATGGAGTGTCTGTTCCTTCCAAATAACTGTCATGATGATCATGTTGCCCACCAAAGTAATGAAGAACATGGCACAGAAGGGAATGGAGATCCGGATGTGAACAACTTCCAGCCCAGGAATGCCTGTCAGCAGAAAAGTAGAGATGCAGTTGGTGCTGTTGACAGGAAGCACGATGCCAGGAGGGCATATCTTTCCTAGAATGAAATGCATTTTCTCAGACACAGGTGTCAAAATTTGGCTGGAGCATTTAATGAACTACTCATCATACCTCTTATTTTAAACTGACTGTGATATCTGTCTAATATGAAAGTAATGCTGTTTCCTGACATATAGCATCTGAGCCTTTGCTAGAAAATAAGACATTCTTTCTTGATCAGATTTCCTAGATATTGTGGCTTGTTGAAGGAAAAATAAGAAACAAAGTGAAGTGGTTGTTTAATTTATCTAAGTTATTTTATTAGTACAAATTTTAAGATAAAAAATCTGCAATAGATAACGAGCTTTCAGTAAAGTTCTTTTAACAATTTGCCCAAATGTATGCCTGTTGTTTTAATTTCAGTAGTAGAACATGACCAGGGTGGTTCTTACTACCTTGGCCAGTAATTATATCTATTAGACAGTACTACTCAACCTATAATTTGTGGACATATTTTAATAGGTTATATTTTATGCATATGATGAAGAAATTGAAAATGAACATATAGAAACTCTACAGTCCCAGAAACATGTTAAAATTTGACACTATAATTTTTACACTTTGGGTGCATATAATGTATGATAAATTATTACTAACCTTATGAAAACTTTTTTTAAAGTTGATACAGACTCTGCATTACACACTATGTTATCAACTATCTGAATTTAAATTATAAAATAATTTTTCTATTGATCAATTTATCTCAATGTGTTAGTTAATTTAAAGAAAAAAATCTCAATTTATAATTTGCCTAACTCACAAAATTAACATGATATTTAAAAATACAGATTTCAAAATAAGTAATTTAAACTAAAATTCTCAATAAAATGGGTTATATTTCAAAATATATTATAGTAACTTTGTATATTATTTTATAAATTCTTTCTGTCTTGACCAAAAAAGTGATGTTATACAAATGAGATCATGGAAAAATTGGCTGTTCTCAGCATATCTTGATCTGCTTTTTATTTAAGTGCAGGATGAGATTTACAAAAGTTACTCAATGGTTAAGTCTTACATGTTATCTTGCAAAACAAAAGAATAAGAAAATTAAAATTAGTCCCAGAAACTTTATGGACACTGTTTCCCCCATCAGAATTCTACTGTGTCAGGAGACAAGGAAGGGGTCTAGGAAACTCAATCTCCATTTGAGAAGAGCACATTCTGCCTGATTTAATCTTTGTATCATATGGAATTAAGTGTCTGCTGCAAGTTTTTTTCTAAATGCCTGTTTCAGTTCATGGGATCCTGGCATTTTCAGAATCCACACTGTGTAAATACAAGGAATATTCACATTCAGGGATGAGGTTAACCTTCAGGTCAGTGTTGTCCTAGGCATGAATAACATTCCATCTCTTCAGTTCAGTATTGCTTTAAGCCCAGTTTTCTCTATGTGTCTCAGTACCACTGTCTAAATATTTCATGCTTTCTTGGGAAAATAAATTGGGAATGGTTTCAAAGAAAAAAGTTGCCTTAAAGCCTGAGATTTTCTGCATTATAGGCTGGAGTTTCTTCACTCATTAATTTATCTAAAATTTCTTTTATCTTAATTATATTCCTAAACTCCACTCAGGTAATCTTTATTTTCTTTCTTACCTGGCATCTCAAGGTAGCTTAGTTGCTAAAGTCGTGGGGGGAAAGCTTTCTCTTTCATGTTTCAAGTCAAATATGCCTGTGACCTTATTTAAGCCACTTTATTATTTATGTAGCCCTCCTCTGAGAATCAGATTCTCCTAGGATTCTCTTTCTTTTTCACCTGAGAGTTGTAATTAACTTTTGATACTTCCCAAGAATGCTACAAAAATGGCCCTGGATACTTTTTTTTCACCAGATGAGTTGAAAATCAAACCAATTAAAATAAAGTTTCACATAGTAAATATCAATTAGGTGTTGGTATCAATTTAATTCTGTTCAAAGTCAATTTAAAAATGAAGTATATGCATTTTAGGATCATTCGTTGTTTTTGTAATATACATGGGAAACTCTGACATGTTCATTTCATCAAAGGCTCCTTATATAATAGAACTCTAATATAACTTCGATTTATGTGATATGTTCCAGACATGGAACACTATTTCATCTATGCAGAAATTACCTTAATATTATAAAAAATGATTAACTATATTGACTTTCCTAACATCATATTTCCTCCCCCCAACTTACCACTTACCTTATACAAATATATAAATGTATGTCAGTGGATCTTTTTGGAGAAAAACAGATTTAAGCGGCAATAAGGACCCGATCTGATTTTATTTTAATTTTGTTATTTTAAAGATGCAGAGTACAATTCAGGGTTAGGTATACAAATGTTCATTATTCAGGTACGCTTGTTAATAAGGTGTGCCCCCCCCACAGATTCCCACTACTGCCAATCCTGCCTCCCCCACCATCCCCACCCAGCCTGGCAGTTTCCCTATTGCCTTTTCTTATAGTATTATGATGATTGTTCAAGGTCTGCTTGTCAGTGAGAACATGTTATACTCAGTTATTTGTTTCTCTGATAGATCACTCAGTATTATAGACTCTAAGTCCATCCAGGTTGCTGTGAAATTCATGATTTTGTTCTTCTTTGTGGCTGCATAATATTCCATCATGTATATGTACCACATTATTTTTATCCAGTCTTCTTTTGGTGGTTCCATGTTTTTGCTATTGTAAACAATGCTGCAATAAACATAAGTGTGCAGGTATCTTTTTCACAGTTACTTGAGTTCCTCCAGGTATACTCCCAGTAGGGGGATTGTGGGGTCATATGGAAGGTAGATTTTTTAGGTCTTTTAGGCATCACCATGCTGTTTTCCACAGAGGCTGTACTGGTTTACCCTCTCACCTACAGTGTAGAGGTGTTCCCTTTTTGCCACATCCTCTCCAATATCTGTTGTGTTTTGAGTTGTTGATGATGGCCATCCTGACTGGGGTTAGATGGTATCTCAGTGTGATTTTAATTTCATTTATTTGATGACTAGTGAGGTTGAGCATTTTTTCATGTATCTGTTGGCTGCTTGTATGTCTTCTTTAGAGAAGTGTCTATTCATATCTTTTGCCCACTTTGTAATGGGGCTGTTTGTTTTCTTTCTTTTCAGCACATTTGAGTTCCCTATAAATCCTAGATGTTAGGCCTTTGCCAGATATACAGTTGGCGAATATTTTTTCCCAGTCTGTGGGCTGTGTCCCTGCTCTCTTGATGGCTCCTTTGGCTTTACAGAAGCTTGTCAGTTTGATGAGGTCCCATCTGTCTATTTTATCTCGATGGCGTGGGTGCTTGGGGTTTTGAACAGGAATTGGTTGCCAGTTCCAATTTCCATAAGGGGGACACGATCTTTTAGAAAGTCATAATCCCAAGATCAAGAACATTTACAGTATTGGTCAAAATTCAATGAAAGTAAAAATTCTATAACTGAGTATATGTACACAAATAAATACTAGTAAAATTGACAAAGTCTTAAAAAGTAGATGTATCCATGACAATATTGTGATTGTGATATTAAATTATAGTTTTACAAACTATTACTGAAAGGAATGACCCCGAGAAACTTAGAATAAACTTAGTACACATTTTATCTCAGTAGAACCATTTTTGCTTAGGCTGACATGCTTTGAATCTAGAAAAGGTTAGACATAGATGGATAAATTTCCAGTAGGCAGGTTTTAGGAAGCATTCAGGCATTTTACTGCTGGCCAAGCTGGCAGCCTACCCCATTCCCTCAACAAATCTCCATCAGATGCAAGACAAGTACAGACTAACCTTTCAATTCATGGTATAGCATAATAATCTCTAAGAAACTTTCAGTTTCCTTGTTGAAGGAGGAAAACCAAAGATCACCCCTTAGCACCTTTAGCTGGTCAAAGCCATAGAAATGATAATAAGACCAACTTTTAGCTAAGGAACTTGCATACTGGGAACCTCTGACAGGTCTTTTGCAGGAAAAACCCCTCCCTTGTCTCCTCCCATCCATCCCACCACCATACAGCATCATGTTACTAACCCACCCATCTGCCTGCTGTCCATTACCTGACATCAGTATCTTTGCTTACCTACCCCTTTATGATGTCATGGAGCAGACCATCACCCAATCACCTTAATGACCACAAGCAACCATTGCCATTGTCTTACTAAGCTATGGTGTGGCCATGTGATCTTTTAGCCATGTTCGGGTCATGTTTCCTGGCTTTGACCCCCTCCCTTACCTTGAGGAGATGAATCTCCTCTTTCTCTCTCTCTTCAGTTTACTTTCTAAATAAACCATATTTTCTAATCTAACTTCTGTGCAATTCTTTGCATTTTTCTCATGGCACTGGATCTCACACCAGACACCCACACCCCTGGTGTGTCTAACCTAACATTCTGGAGGCCCTTGCTGGGATTGTGACCTAACATTTCTGGAGGGATCTAACATTTTCTGGTGGTCCCACCAAGCTCTAACAATTACTGTTGGAAAATCTGGGTACATAGTTCACAATACTTCACTGTATTATTTCTTTACAACTGCATGTGAATCTGAAGTGATCAAAATAAAAAAGTTAATAAAAAATAAAGTAGCAAGAAATGTGATTACATCAACATAGTCTTTTTAAATAGAGTTGGACTAGGCAATATTAGAAAGTACTATTTCTGTTTATATATACATACGTATTAAAAGGATAAACTGAGGCAAGGTGACCTGGTGCCTAGTACTTTGGGATAATGCAAGATTACAACCAAGGAAGAAGTAGAAGGAAGTAAAGTTTATTATTCGCCCTTCACAGATTGGAAAGGGGCCTGACACTCAGAGGTAAGTGTGGTCTCAAAGAGCCAAAAACTAGGTTTATTTAAGGGTCTTTGAGGTAAGGGGGGGTTTGGGCCCAGAGGGGTGTGGGTCAAAAGGAATGTCCAGGGCTGCAGTCTTTAATGTTGATTGTAGCCACATGAGTCTTAGGTCTTGATGACAACAGACTAGATGGGAAGAAAGATTTTTCCTGCAAGAGACCTGTCAGACATTTCCAATACACAAGTTTCTTAGCTAAAAGGTAG